GGCGGCAAAATCGGTTTTGTGGCTCTCACCTTCAGCTTGACGAGGTTTCGACAACCATTGTTCGAGCTTCGCTTGAAAATAAAATAACCGGTAAATGTGACCAAATATTTTTTAATGAAAGAACATGTATTTACAAACAGTCTGAAGTGTGCTATGTTCGATTCCGTTGCAATCTAAATTTTTGGGGAATTTTTGTCTTTTTCCAATATTTCACTCATTTTGGCGGACAAAAAAATGCCAAAATTGAGAGGGTAAAATCGCACCTTGGTACATGGCATGGAGTTATATCAAGTTAATTCAGCGAAATAACAAGTTTTCTTCTTCAAATATCTCCAATAACAATTTTGGGCTACCCAAACTATGAAATTTTAGGACCCCAAACAAAACTGACTCAAAGGTCAAAACACGCCATTACATGTCACGCAATTGGAGGGGAAAAATAAAAAATGCGCACGTGGAAAAGACAACAGGCCGCTTTGGGAGCGAAATATCGTTACCAATCTGTAAAAAAAGTTAACTTTGATCTACATTTGTCGTTTCTGCTGCTCAGGTTACCTGAGATTTAAAATTTTAGTGGTCATTTTCAATATGGATTGCGTGACAGGCAGGCCTACAAGTCTTGGGCCACAATCGCAAGAGGACGCGTCTTTACCAGAAACACTGGCACTCTTCCTTAACATTCAGTATCAATTCTTTGGTAACTTTGAATTATTCTTGAAGACTTTTTGAGGGACTCGCGTATGAAAATGCTTATAATAACTTAAAGCAAGTCTTTATCCGCTGTCGTCGCTACGGTCAAGAACCTAATTTTCTCATACTTTTATTATGCGGGAAATATAATTCAGGAAAAAAAAACAAACAAACTACATGTACATAGCATTCAATAACCATCCTAAGGTACCTTCTCGAGTTATCTTATTGTTTATACACTACATAGCGTCTACAGAATCAATAAGAAATCGTAAGAAATATTGAGATGTTACCTGCCCTGGCGACAAGAAGATCTGCCTCCGTTTTCAAAGTTGAATCAAAGCAGTCAAAACTTCAGGTGACACTTGATGTTCCCTCTGCATGTTTCTATCACCTCACATAAAGCATTTGTCGGGGGCACTGCAACCACAAGGCCCTCCAACAAGTTCTGAGTAGCCACAGGTTGTCATTACATATGCACGACTGTGAAAAAGCGCACCGCGGCACAGATTATCGACGCAAAAGTAATCTGACTGTGCGTCAAACGTAAAGACGTTAATTTTATCTGTGTGTCGTATCAGTTATTGCGTGCTAAGTGCTTGATGTTTGGTAATGATTCCCAGACACTTGTACACAGGATAATACCTACCTGCGTAAATCTTCTCCCATCTAATAATGCGGGAAGCTTACAGCCTCAAAAGTAGAACAACGTTACAAATAAAAGCACAATAACATGACAAGTATACAATGTGTTCCCACACTAATTAAGATGTAAAACTAAAGGGG